TTATGTTACTAGATAACACTTGTGTCTCGTTATAGGACTACCTGTTTGTTATGTTACTAGATAACACTTGTATCTCGTTATAGGACTACCTGTTCGAGAGTTCGGACGCAAGTGCGGCTCGAGCGTAAGTTACTTAATGTTGACGTTGATCTTCTGCCGGATAATGGAGTGATCATTCACTTTACAAACAAATCGGGAAATCATTTTTCGGAATACTTAATAAATACACCTTCAGAAGTGAACTTCTTTCCAGCATGCCTTTATATTGGCTTCTTTGAAAAGCAAATATATTCATTCCCCATATTACTGCTATGTTCATTTGTGGAAAATGTTGTCGGGTGTATCTATAGGGTAACGTACTCCTTAGGAGCAACTTTTACACTGGAAGTCTGATTGGTTCATTGTGTTTACCGTTACAGACTTCTAAAGGACTTGGTGATTCAGACCTTCCTGGTTCGTAACTCACGTGAACAAGGGCGAAAGGTAAGTCATAGGCGGCATGCCAAGCCTGCCATATTCAGGATTTCAAGTTTGAACTTATAAAAACGCAACATTCACATCCGAAAACAAATCATTTCATTTTTACATTTAAAATCTCTACTTTTCATTTTCAATAAAATGTTAATTCCATTACAAAACATTTGCATTCAATACCTGCACCTTCATTTAAAAGTTCCATTCAGGAAATAAACCATTAGCAGTGCGTTATATGCGATCATAACGTGATGTGAATTCTATCATTGCATTTTCGTATAGAATGAATCGCATTATTTTTTATCAAATCTGGCTTTTTTTAATTAAGCTACTTTTAACAGTATTAACACAATGTGCGAAATAATAACATGTACTAGTATGCACCAGTTGAAAGCTATATATATGTCTGGTATAACCTAGTAATAACTTAATGGTCCAAAAGATGTCACATGTGGTCCAGAAAACACTTATCAATTCACACCAGAGTTTGTATCCTTCAGTTCTCTGTGAGGTTTATTATGTTCTCTTTATCCTGATTTATCATCAGTTCTCTGTAAAGTTTACGATGTTCTCTTTATCCTGATGTATCCTCAGATCTCTGTGAGGTTTACGATGTTCTATTTGTCCTGATGTATCCTCAGTTCCCTGTGAGGTTTACGATGTTCTCTTTGTACTGTTGTATCCTCAGTTCTCTGTGAGGTTTACGATGTTCTCTTTGTCCTGATGTATCCTCAGTTCTCTGTGAGGTTTACGATGTTCTCTTTGTCCTGATGTAGCATCAGTTCTCTGTGAGGTTTACGATGTTCTCTTTGTCCTGATGTATCCTCAGTTCCCTGTGAGGTTTACGATGTCCTCTTTGTCCTGATGTAGCATCAGTTCTCTGTGAGGTTCACGATGTTCTCTTTGTCCTGAGGTATCCTCAGTTCTCTGTGAGTTTTACGATGTTCTCTTTGTCTTGATGTATCCTCAGTTCCCTGTGAGGTTTACGATGTCCTCTTTGTCCTGATGTAGCATCAGTTCTCTGTGAGGTTTACGATGTCCTCTTTGTCCTGATGTATGCTCAGTTCTCTGTGAGGTTTATGATGTTCTCTTTGTCCTGATGTAGCCTCAGTTCTCTGTGAGGTTTTCGTTGTTCTCTTCGTCCTGATGTATCCTCAGTTCTCTGTGAGGTTTACGATGTTCTCTTTGTCATGATTTATCCTCAGTTCATGTGGTTAGCTCTTTATCCGTCTTACTTCACATAGAACCATTCCTGGCTTTTGTCTAAGCATCTGTGATTTAATTTGAAATTAAGTACAAACTGCCATGACATCTGAATGGCTGATATAGTTTCGAAATATTCTTTCAAAATCCTTTTTAAACCATCATAGTAAGAATGTTGCTCTCAGAACTGTTAAGATCTATGAAAATCGTAACAATTCCCTGGCCCCGTTATAATTTACGTATATTTTCATTGTATCATTCAATTAGGGAAATGAATGATTATGAAGTAATTTGGTTGGACTCACTGTCTTTATCTAAGGTATCCTTGTTGATTCCAAAGTTAATCCACCTCAAGCTCTTTTTTTTTTTTACTTTTGACGCTGTTGAATATATTTCTTCTGTTTTGCTTTTATTCTACACAGGTTTTAGTTGTCAAAAGAAAGGATGAGTATAAACAACACAAAATCAGTATCAACGTAAGTAAATGATCAATCGAAACATGAATGAGTTCAATAAGCCTTTGTTGATACCAGCACAGAGTCATGGTTCTGCGACCTATTCACTGGGCAAACGAGGAAACAGTTTACGTATTTGTAAATTGTTTGTATGCACAGATAGGCAGAAATATAAAGTTTTTACTGCACGATATGTCCTTTTCATCTATTTATGTCTCATCGGTGTAATCAAAGTTAGAAGAGAGAATAGCCGTATCTAGTGTTTCCGAAAGATGTTTAGAATAGAGCGAAAGGGGAAAATTTGCCATCCAAGCCTTTATAACGTTATAAGTTAGGTTGCGTAAAAGAGTCATTTAAAATACGAAAAAAAGTAATATTATTAATTTTTGATCTAATCTTAATATGAACTGGTCTTAGAGAAATGTGCAGCATGTAGTATAGCTCGGTCGTATTGTAAAAGTACTAGTCAAAAACCATCAGTGTTTAAATATTCTAACTTATTATTTCTCTTCCTGTGTATTCTTTTCAGGGTGATATTTTTTGCGTGGAGGCAGCAGAACAATTCAGAAGTCTGAGCAAACTGATTGAATATTACAAACAAAATGAATTATGTGGTTCATGCCTCGGTAATGGCTACAAATACTATGAAAGGTAATTGAGGATAAAGCAATGTGGTTCCTGCCTTGGCAATGCATACAAATTCTATAACCGAGGAGAGTGTACGTGGCATATGTCTCGGCAACGGCCACACTGGACAATGGTCACACCGGGCAATTGCTACAACGGAAAGTGTTCATACTTGACAATGGTTTCACATTCTATTAACGATGACAATGTTTCGGTGGTTTGTGTCTCGGCAATGGCTACAATTGTGATAGACGGCAGTGCTTTCTGAATGTGTCTGGAACTACCCGAGATCCATAGACATCTATGTTTTACAAAGGAACAGTCGCATTTTAACTTATATATATTTACATGTAAATATTTTGTATTTTATAAGATACCTAAGCTTTACTATAGTGTATGCAGTTTTGGACTACTATTGTAAACATTTGCGCTACAATGTCACTATGTCAACCAAGTATACTGCGTGTACAAATGGGTAGTCAAACTATACGGAAGTCACGTTTGACTCTCGTTTGGAATATTTGGATGGTAAATTGACTGTTCCATTATGAAACCAGGATAACAGTAATATTTATTTCTATTGCAATTATCATATTATATAGCTTTTTGATGTAGAAAATATTATTTTTTAAATCACGTAAACTTTTTCTTCCAACAGGTCAATGCTGCTAAGTAAAAAGCGAGCTGGTTACGGGCCAGCACCTCCGTTTCCTCTTTTGCTACCTAAACATTCAAAAGGTTTCTTTTTTTTCAATTTTCGAATTTAGCTGACATGCCTCCGCGGTGTGACGTCATTAACAAACGATATCAATAATCGTAATGATGAATACTATTGTTATGTATCTAAATATTATTTTATGCTTGTAACAATACAAAAAACACGACATGAAGTTAGTACGAATTAATAAACAAATGTTTTACGGTTGCTGTTACGAACTATATTTGAACACTTCAATCACAGGAAAATGCACGTGCTTTGGGCTGTTCCACCGATCGATCATTCCTGTCGATATTGTGGGATTTTTATCTCTTTTCATTTCTATTTTTTCAAACGACAAAAAAAACCGTGATAATGTTAATATAAGTATTAAACTGCTTTCTGATGCGGTCGATGGCATTATGAATGCCCACTGCATTACAGTTGAAACATATCAACGTTCTTTCATTTTCCTCTCATACAGTGAACGTTGATATGCCTATAAACCGCATCTTAAAGCGTTTTAATTTTTAAATATGGAACACAATATTAGAATTGTAAAAAATGTGTTGTATTTCATAGAATATTAGAATAGTTTTTGCAAAATATATTTTAGAGCTCAAACGTGAAACTATATATTATTTGTACTAGAATACCGATATGTTGCTATCGTTTGTATTATCCATTTTGTAAAACACAAGAGGTTCCTTCATTTTGTTGTGTATTTCTGAAACACAAGAAAGTTATTACAGTTTGTCCTGGGTATTATTTTTATAGATTACATAACAGAAGTTTGTCCTGGGTATTATTTTTATAGAATACAGAGAATGAAGTTTATTCTGTGTATTGTTTTTTTAGAAGACAATAATGTTACTATAGTTTATATATTGTACTTTCAATAACGTGTCACTGTAGATAATAAGAATAAGGCTAGAGGTCATCAATCAATGGTGGACCAGACCCATCTTGGTATCATATTGTCTTCAGGTCTTGCGGGAAAACTCGCACCGACTGGTTAAATCTTTTTGTAAATATTTCCATGTATTTTTTTCAGGTTTAAATCTTTTCAATTTAACTCTTTTGTAAAACAGAAAATATTAAAACTGTTTATATTAAACTGTTACGTTCAGATACAAGAAGAATGGGAACTCTTCTTTACAGTAAATGTCATCAGTTCGAATTAGTGTCTTATTGAGTTTCTCGTTATAGGTGTCCGCACAGAAATCTAAAAGATAATGCTACATGTTTGTTGAAATATTTTTCCAGAAAGGAAATAAAATAAAAATAAAAAGTGATCCGTTGTGATTTATATTCATTGTTCTGCTCCTGATGTTCCAGTATTGTGTGTGCTGAGCATACATTCACCTTGGAATCCTACATATGACAACAAATTCAGCAGATAGAATGAATCTCC